GATATATCTATGGCTCTTGTGGGAGAAGTTTCATTTGGACTCTGCTTACCGCTTTGAAAGTAATGCATTTAATTTATCTTGCTTTTCCAACGCGTGTGTTCTGTAATCTTTGTAACACACATATCCATCACAATGCTTGCATATTAAATGATACGAAAGTTAAAAACTTTTTTAGGGAATGAGGTATACAGAGTTAAAAAGCATGTGGAGCTGGTGAAAACCTAAGCGTAAGAGCTTTTGAGTTTCAAGAAGACGTTTGTACGTTGAGCCTCGGGGGGAAGATAAAGGCTGTGCATCTTTTTTAATATTCCTAGATCTGCCTGGTTTGTTTTGCTATTCCAACATTTGCGCGCGCAAACATTTCGGTTACAACGTTCAGGCGAATTTTTTGTCTTGCGAACTTTATTTTATACGAACTTTTGACTTAAAACTTAATGCTCGACGTACTTCATTCTGACGAACTTAAGTCACAGGAGCTTTATCCTACGAACAATTGTCAAACTTTGTTATCCGCCACCATTCCCCTCATCGCCCCTGCGAGAAGGCGACTGACGGTGTCAAGCTCCTGCCAGACCGGTAACTTCTATTTCTGGAATCCGCTGCTAGAGGGCAGTGTACATACACTCATTTCGCAGCCCAGGCATTCGCCTCAGCGGTGAAGGTTCTGGGATTTTAAAAGTGACCCACAGCCATACAGTGTTGGATGATAAATTTGATTTTACATTGCCATGCCTATCGCAAAACATGCAATTAATTCGATGGCAATAAAAGGCGTAGTACAAAAGACGGGTTTCGCAACATTGCCATTCCCGTACCAGATAGCTGTCACGCCGGTACCAAGGTTCAGCACTTCCGCCCTTGTCGCCACGCTCAAAGCTTCATCTCGAATTCCTACATCAGGGATTGGGGGCGGCTTCGCAGCGTTGGAGACCTGCCGGGAGGCTTCCCAGCCATTGGAGACCTGCCGGGGGGCTTCCCAGCCGTTGGAGGGCTGCCGGGGGGCTTCCCAGCCGTTGGAGGCCTGCGGGGGGCTTCCCAGCCGTTAGA